TACAAGGAGAAAAATTCTTAAAAATAATGAACTTCAGAAAATGAGATCAAACGACATTTGAAAACTTGGTTTTCTGACAATACAGAGAAGAAGTATTCATTAGAAAAGTTCAAACTAAGCTAAAGACGTATAATGCGACATGTTTATCTAGTTAAATGGTCCCAATTTGTTAATTCTTTGTCGTGTTTGTGCTGAATATGCAATGGATAACTTATGGAGTTTCCAAGCTCCTTCTTGCTTCATTCCCAGAAAAAATGAACACTTGTAATTCATTATGGCGGAATGTGCTTTCCTGCCATGGAATGTCCTCTCTGAAACAAGATAGAATTTGGATAGTGACGTACATCAAGTCTGACACTCCCCTCACATGGGGAATGGGGCACGCGAGGGGCCCCACTCCCCTATTAGGGGAGTAGTCACACTCAAGCCTTACTCCTCGTGTGATACACGCAGACCCTACTTCCCATGTGAAGAGAGTGTCAAAATAAATGTACAACAAGAAGTGTACATTCATCATTATCATTTTTCTGACATTATCTTGTCCGTGGAAAAATATTATAACAATCTTTAATGCTTATACCCGTTTCTTACGGAAACATCATGGAAAATTTCATTAATTTGTCATGATTTGATACTGTGTTTAGTCAACAAAATAAGTTTAGTCTGCTGACATTGGGGCCCAATTTATCCTTTTATTTACAAATGTTAAATATGGATAAATACATGTTAGATATATATCAAATATTTTGTTTTGAAAGATATATTTAAATAAAGATAGTTGATAAAATGGGTGGAATTTATATAGGAGGTCAACGGTTCAAGTTACACTAGCTATGCAAATATTTAATGTCTATAATATAATTGAGCTATTGCGCTTTTCTGATTAAATTAACTATTTGAGAGGAAATTGCAAACACTCCCCATTTTTAACTTACCATTTCAAAAATTTAATTCCAAACTTAGGTATATACTGCACCCTTACCCCCCATCCCCACCTATCATTTTATTAATTTTTATAGAATATTATGTGATAATTACATGATATTAAATGATATTCAATTAAATGAGTCTGTGACTTTGTATTTAAATGAATATATCATTTAATATCATATAATTACCACATAGACTGTTGCTCAACTCTAGTTGAAATGAATAGTATTCACCATGGTCAAAGATCCACATCAATTTCCACATTTACCATTCACCCGTCGCGTCCGCCACCACAACTCCCACCACCGCCTAGAAAATCCAACCCATCATTCACTTGTTGCCTACCACCATCACTCCCATCACCTATGAACACAACCCCCACCTTAATATTTCTCAAATATAAAAGCCAATAGATCTATAATTAATCCATTAGATCTAAATTCCATCGTTGACTCCCAGTAACCCACCGTCCCACTCACTATGGTTGCTCACCACCTCGACTCTATCCTGACCCCGACGGCTTGAAAGAGAGAATTTTTGGATTGTAGTGGCTCCTAGAGGCTAGAGGCGAAAATTGAAGGGTAGTAGTGGTGCATTGGAAGTGCGTGTGGTGTGGTTGTTAGTTGTGGTGGAGGTCGTGCATTGAATGTGGTGAGGGATTTTGTATCTAACGCAACGGAGCCGGCTTGAGCGGTGCCGAAGATGGTAGAGTAGGACGGGGTAGGGTGGAATGAAATGAAAGTAGTGAAAGTAGTCGTGAGTGTTTAATTAGGTAATTTGTGACTAATAAATAATTTGTGATTTATTAAATGTGTAATTTTTTATTAAAATAAGGGATTACGACATACAAAATGTCTCTATGATTATGATATTGTGTGATTTGTAATTAGTATATAATCTTGATCCTGAATTACGTCTATTGTGATCGTGACTTGTTTGATTAAATATAAGACACAAAAATTTATCATATGCCACAAAATATGATTGAAAGTGTATCTTGAAACTATGATAATTATGTATTTTTTTTATTATTTATAGTTATTATTTTTTGATTTATTTCTCTTAATAACTAATTAGTTATAGATAGTAAAATAAAACTGTAAATAAATTCTAAAGTATGTATTATTTATTTATCTAATGTTTTAGAATAATTAAAATAATATTAAAAAAATGCTTATTACGTATAGACAAATATAAGCTCGAACTTTATCTTTATCCCGTCTTAGGACTTTTAAAATTAACTAAACTAAAAATTAAAAAAATTACTATCTATAACTAATTACTAATTAAGAGAAATAAATAAATAAAAATAATCACTATAAATAATAATAATAATGTTTAATTATCATAGTTTCAAGATACACTTTTAAATTTGTGTGTCTTATATTTAATCAAAGAAGTCACGATTACAATAAACACAATTTAGGGTTAAAGTCACATATTAGCCATAAATCACATAAGGTCATAATCATAAAGACATTTTGTATGTCACAATCCCTTATTTTAGTTAAAAAAAAAATGCACATTTAATAAATCGCAAATTACCCAATTAAATACTCACGACTACTTTCAATTCATTTCTCTTAATAAATTAATTTTTAGATGTCACAAAAATTAATTTTTCAGTAAGTTTTGATATATAAAATATGTAATTAAAAAATTAATAAAAGTTGTGACACTCTGTTCGATGTGTATAATTATAAACATATTTTAAAAATTTGGAGAATAAAGCTATTTGTACAAAAAGAATTTGACAAAAATGTTGACAAACACTCACATGATTGTCGGGCCCACATGAATAAAAAATTGAAAATAAAAAGTAGGCCCCCCCACATGTGAGGATTTGTCAACATTTTTGTACAAATTCTTTTGTACAAGTAGCAAGGTTCAAATTTGGAACTAAACATGGACGAAATAAATCTTTGAGATTATGCAATCAAATCAATCTCAACTATAGAAAATTAAATCTGTCGTGTCCCTACCGTCGCGTCAATTACAATCACAATTGAAGCGTTCTTAAAGGCTAGAAATTGCCAAGCTAGGCCTGAGGACAAAGGATAACGATGATTGAACGAACTCAAAGACAAAAAAATAATGGACACGTTGATTTGACAGCACATGTTTGTGTGTGTGTGTATTTTTTTTAAATTGTCAAATCATGTGTCGACACGTGTTCCCTTATTTTTGAACCTATTTTTGAGTTTGTTTGTGCAGCATGATTTCGAGGACAAATACTTTTTTTCGGTGCAAATACTTTTTAAGAGATTAAATAAATTAAGCTCCTGCTTGAGCCACATTAAAATTTTTATTCTCATTTTTCTACTTATTTTCAACCACACACTTTTCAATGAAATAATATTTTTCATCATATCAAAAAAAAATTCTTCTTTTTCAACCACACATTCTTCATCAATCTATTATTCCAAAATAATGTGGCTCAAACACAACTTTAAATAAAAAGATTGAATTATAAACAAAAAATTAGAAATTGGAAATTTTATTTTGAATAGAAATAAATTTCAAAGTACGTATTATTTATTTATCTAATTTTTTAGAATAATTAAAATAATATTAAAAATAAAAATGCTTATTACATCTAGACAAATATAAGCTTGTAAAACTTGTAACTCGATCTTTATTCCTGTCTTAGGACTTTTAAAATTTCCACAATCCCAGCAAAGTGAAATATGCAATTAAACAATCGCTCCAAAGATGATGAGTCATATGCTGACGCATGTTCTAGGATATTTCATCAAGTCACTGTTTGAAATAGTGATTGATGGAAAATTTATAAATTTTGAAATAGTGATTGATGGAAAAACGTGTGGTTAAAAAATAATGAAAAGTGTTAGATTTATGTGTAATATTATTTTATTTGAAGAATCTGTGATTAAAATTAAAAAAGAAAAAAAATTAATGGGCCAAACAAGGGGAATTTGAGAGTGATTAATACTGTGTTTAGTCAAGAAAATGAGATAATCTCGGACATTGGGACCCAGTTTATTATTTTGTCTTGTTTGGTGGGGATTAAAATCAATTTTTTTTGTAGATTTTGATAAATATTTATGTATTTGAAATTAATTGTTGACTGTGATTTAGATTAAAATTTAGATTTTAAATTTTATCAAATAGAGAATTTTATCTAAAACAATAAATAAAATACTTAAGGGCACTATTTCTTTTGAATAAAAAAATAATCTTAGTCTAGCGACTCTATTGAGATTTCACCGAAAATTTATTGCCCGCAATCAAATATCGAGCATGGAAGGGACTTCTCGATCAGTATTTACTACGGTATCAGAATGGTGACCTTCTTTGTTGTATCTCCAATGCTCAAATCGGTACTTAAATGTAAGCAAAGAAGATGAAAATTCCATGTCGAATCTCTTCAAAAAGTAAATCTTTTGTCATTAGCTCACTCGAATCTCCTTTCCAACATTTCGTTATCGAATTAGTCATACACTTCACATATTTCTAACATGGCGTGCGATTTTAAGCATGAACCGGTTTTATCACTACTTTGAAAATTCATATTCAGCCATTATCTTATAAAAATAAAATAAAAATCAACGCTTTTTAGGTCAGTGGAATCCATTATTTTTCTTCCTATACAATAATAAAATATTGGATTTTGAGCCAAATTATTATAGAATGAGAATGAAAAATATAGACGTCATTGGGGTCTACGTAAGAGATAGAAAATTTGAACTTAATTATTGACGTGATGGATAACTATCATATTTTTTATTTTAATAAGATAATAATGTAGATCAAACGGGGCATATTAATTATATGTATTCATCTTCTAATTGCAGTCGACAAACGCAAAAAATAGCTCAAACTTTATCTGATTGGAGAATTTCACCAGCCACGTGGACTACATGAACAAAAAGTTGTGCACATTGAACTTTTCGCCTCTATAAATTGACAACATCTTTCCACGATTCTACCACGAAACAACCTCAAACCCACGCCCACTCCACCCCAGCCCGCCACCCACCCACCAATCATACGCTAATTCTTTTCCACGAGTAGCCAAAAAACCTGAATATATATATATACACACACACATGGACCTTCGTCAACCTTCGTCAACCGTGTATGGTATGGTATGCTCTATATATACAAGCATTTTTACATTTGTGTTCTGTGTGGGTAAAATTGCTTTATCTTCTTTTTCATGTTCTTTTAGAACTGGGATTCGATTATTTGCGTGAAATTTTTTAATATTTGAAGATTAAAAGTATTAACCATGATTTCATCCACGATGCAGCGACTAAAGGAGGCGATAGTGTTACTTGTTTTAGCCATTTGCTCAAAGGCAGCGAATTCGAATCCTTATCGGAGGCCGATAACCGACACACAGAAGTCAGCCGGCGCCACCACCGCCTACTGCTTGAGTTGGAGGCTGGCGGTGGAGGCTAACAACATACGTGCATGGCGTACTGTCCCAACTCAGTGCCTTCACTATATTGAGGGTTATATGACTTGGGGGCAATACGAGCATGACCTCAACTTCATTGTGGAGAATATAAATGATTATATTGAGAAAATAATTCTCGAAAATGATGGTTCTGATGCTTGGATTCTAGACGTTGATGACACGTGTATCTCCAACCTTTTATATTATAGAGGAAAGCGATTTGGGTAAGTCGTCTGTTCATTTATTTAAATTTAGTCTTTGTTAAAGTTAACGTTTTTTTCTTAATGGAATTGGTTAAATTTTGTAGTTGTGATCCATTTGATCCAGTGGGTTTTAAGACATGGGCATTAAAAGCAGAGTGCTCTGCGGTTCCTGCAGTTCTCGCACTGTTCAATAAGTTGATGGAAAAGGGACTTAAGATTTTCCTCATCACAGGCAGAGATGAACTCACACTTGGACAGGCCACTCTTGATAATTTGTACGATGAGGGATTCATCGGCTACGAACGCCTCATTTTAAGGTAAACGTGTTCAATTTATTGTCTTATTTTCGATAGATTTAGAGTCGGCTGTATTTGATCGATGCAACCTTTGTTTAACAGGACCGAGGCTTATAGGGGGAAAAGTGCCATTATTTACAAATCTGAGATTCGGAAGCAATTGGTAGAGGAAGGGTACAAGATATGGGGCAATGTGGGAGACCAATGGAGTGATATTCAAGGAGATTATGTGGGCGAACGTACCTTTAAACTTCCTAATCCAATGTACTTCGTGCCTTGAATCCTACGGAATAAGCACATAATTAATGTGTGATTGAATAATCGCAATATTTGTATTTTCACGTCTTTAATTAATAAAAAACTTCAAACGGTTCGATCTTATATCGTTTGAATATTGCGATTTACAAAATACAAATAGTAACAAAGGTAACATCGATCGAGATGCATCTAAGACGAATGAATTCCATGTTTGTGTGGGTGGGGGGGTCTTTAACCATGTCATCCACTAGTAGAGGGTGGGTTTTAATATTTTGGCAACGGTTCATGAACCTATTTTAGTAGTGGAAAGGAGATGATTCAGTTATGTTATCAAACTAACCAACCAAATCTTTGTAGTCAGGGGTATGTCATCCCATGATTCGGGCATTAACAGTTGATTCCACTCTACTTGCAATAGTCAACAAAATAAAAATAATCATGCTTCACATACAGGGACCTATGACTCACATGGAGGAGGCTAATTTGGAGCTTAAATTTTATGAGGACCAACCTAAATGAAGATCTGAATAAGACATTAATATGAAATAATTCCGACCTTGTGCGAAGTTAATAGAAGAAAAGCAAAATCTACAAGACTCGAGAAATGATAATAAAGAGGGGAAAAATATTAATATTAAATAAAAATGAAGTAAAAGAACCCATATCGTTGCACCATAAGTGACGAAAGTCTAGTAGCCAAAAGCATCATTAGTTTATGCTCTAACCCAACTAACATGAGACACGTGAAATTCTGTGTAAATCAATAAGGGCCATCTTGCAAAACTAAATACTCATAGATGACCGATGTCAAAGTAGTGATATCTATGTAATGTATGGTCGTGCTTAAAGACATATTGGTTGAAGTATATGCTTTTTTTTATATCAATCCAAATCGAGCTTTTTCAAAAGCATACATCATAATCGTTGTATAAAAACAAGAGCTAAAGAGAAAACATACATCTTTATTAACCAAAGATGTAGAATAAGTTCCTCAAAATTCTTTAGATGCCCGAATCATGACTTGATGTTAGAGTGGAATCAACCACTACTCTCCTTGTGCCCATATAAATATTCGATATTTTTTTTTCCTACTAACTTTATAAAAGAGAAAAAGTCATCAAACAACTAGACGGACTCATCCATCCCGCAAGATGTTAATGAAGACATAGCGACGTGATTTCGACGCCAACAAATTATCGAAATGGATATCTAAATATTATTTATTCTGAAAAAAAAAATTATTTTTAGAAAATTCAAAATAAAATATTTTAAAATAATAAATATTAATCATGGTCGAGTCAAGTCAAGTCGTAATATGTAAAAAAAAAGTTTGAAAACTAGCATTCTATTAATTTATTTATAATTAAAATATTTTTTTCAATATTACTATTTATTACGGAAATACCTTATAAATAAATTTTCTAACATTAAAATAATCTAGGGGTATTAAGTGGAGCGAGTCGCTGCCAGCTCATCTCGTCCAACTCACGAGTCGAGCTACATATGCGAATCAAGTAACAATTTACTCATGAGAGCCACTGCAGACTTAATGGAGCAAGCTGGGAGAGCTAACTTGCTTGTGTGAAAGCCAGCTCGCAATTTGGCTCTCGTGAGGCAGCCTGTGGGCATGCCTTTTTTGCAACCATGCAAGCTGTCATTTTTGTTGTAAAGTCAAATTCAGACTATAAATAGGGACAAGATAAACCAAATTCATCACATTTCAACATTATCTACAATCTTCTAATACTCTCATAATCTTTTTAGCAATATAATTTTGCAATTATTCCTTTATTTTCAAATATTTCTTCAAAACCGACGTTTGTTGTACCAATCTTTTGTTTACTTTTTTTAACAAAAAATCATTATGAATTACACTTGATTCTTGAATCCCAATGATGATGTTAACCAATTATTCAATAGTTTCAATAACCCGATCTACGATTTTTCTTAAGCCTAGGATCCTCCAACTACAGCAAATGTCGAAACTCTGAAACGAGAATAATTGAGCGTGGTGACAAGTGTAGGAGAAGTAGTCTCTGCAAAAAGATGAAAGAACAAAAAAAACCCCTTGAACCACTTGTGAATGTTGAAAACACTTCACGAAAAAGAAGACAATTGAGAATGTGGAGCATATTTGAAAAGTATATTGTAATTACTACGAAAAGGACTTCACTTAGAAACCAAGCACTTACACAACCCATTTCAAAAGGCATTATGAAAAATGCATTGCTCGTGTTGGGGTTGCTTCATTTTGGTTCAAGAAAAGGAGGACCTTTTGGAGTAGTTCTTAAAAATTGGATTTATAACAAGAAACAATATGGGAATACACGTAGTAATGTTCGTTATCACTGCCGAGTGGGTTTTCCACATTAGAAGTCGTGCACTTGCGAAGCTCAACATATCTCCAACTCAAAATACAAATGGACCACTAGAGGTACGCCATGCAGCAATGCTATTAATTTATATTGTGTTAAAAATTTACAAAAATATTGATGATATATTGTCATTTTTTACTTATTATTTGTTGTCCTAAAAATCATAAATTGAGATGGCCTTGGCCCAAGGCAACCTAGGCCATTGTCTTGTGCTTCAATTCTTGAAAGGTCTCAAAAAATTAAAAGCCCAAAAATTCAACAAAAAAATTCATTTCTTTTTTGAGTTTGGTCGTTTATTTTATTTAAAAGGCATGACTAAATTGTAAATAATCTCTGAACAGTTAACTGGATTAGAAGAAGTAATAGACAAATTGCAGTGGATAGAAAAAGAAAATATTGCAGTTGACAGAAGATAAAATTGGCGTCTTTG